TATTGGGGTGGCAGTGGCCTAGTGGTACGTACATGAGTCCAATGTCCCCACATTTCATCCCCCCTCTCTCTGTCCCTGATTTCTGACTCTATCCACTGTCCACAGTTCACTCTCAAATGTGTTGTGATGGCGCCCTCGTGTGGTCAGCAGCAGTAACTACAACTCTATGTGAGTGTATTTGAAAAAAGCCCATTTTAGTCCACGGTTCAGGGGGGTGTGTTGTTGTGTAGACGGATACACACACACACACACACACACACACACACACACACACACACACACACACACACACACACACACACACACACACACACACACACACACACATGCACACACAGAGGTGATTAAGTAGGTTCGGGTGAGTAAAAACAAAAGTGAGAAAAGGAATAAACTTAATGAAGAAATGAAACTTAATGAAGAACACACTCACACACACACACACACACAGAGTGTGTGGAGATGGTTTAGGTTCTCTATTATTGTAGATTTCAGGGGGAGTGTATCCGTGTGTAAGAATCAAGATCATTTCAAACACCTCGACTCTCTCTGTGTTTACACTGTGACAAAACAGGAAGTGCTTTTTCCATCCTCTCTAATAAAACCTTTCTGTAAGATGTCAGAGGAAACAGAGCAGCATGCACCACATCTCCATGGGTAGCAGAATTCAAGGTAACACTGTCTCTTCTCCCCTACACATTGACACACTGATGGTAGTAATCGCTTTACTATCACCCATCAGAAGTAACTAATCCCATTCAAACACCACCACCGAAGCAGCGGGAGCAATTCAGGGTTAAGTGTCTTGGCCAAGGACACATCGGACATGTTGCCCAGCTGGGAATCGAACCCTCGACCTTCAGGTTGAGAAGTGACAACTGAGCGACCAACTGAGCCACAGCTGCCCCAATGAAAGCTGTGAAAAATGAAGCCGATGCTTGAAGTGTAAAAATCCTGCAGTTCCTGGAGTGTCCACTAGAGGCTGGCTGCAGAAGCACAGGAAGTCACATACACACCCCTTCTAAAAGGCCTGTTTTTACAGCAGAGATGAACAGCCTGGTTCAAAAAAACAAATAGGTGTGATTAGCTCATATCTCGATCGAAACACACTGTACCGGGAGGGGGGGGGGGGGTGAATGTTTCGATGACTCATCACTTTTGATTTGATGAAGGATAAGAGTTATTCACAATAAGGCGTGTAGCTGATCTGATTGACAGGTGGGCGCAGTGTAACAGTTTGTCAGGAGGATTAAAACCCGCCTCAGCTCCAGCTCTCAGCCTGTCGTTAGGTTGACTAAAAGTTAGACAGCATTTCCAGCATGGAGACCGCCATCGATGGGACTCCAGGTCAAACATGGACACATGTGATGATGTCATAAAGATCAAAGAGATTTAAAGAAGACAAACTCACCAAGTCTGAATGTTTAAGCGGGTCATGAGTTTAAGCAGCAATGTGTCACACACACACACACACACACACACACACACACACACACACACACACACACAGAGGTAATTAAGTAAGTTCGGGTGAGTAAAAACAAAAGTGAGAAAAGGAATAAACTTGCAGCAGAAATGAGACTGAAAGGGATACTTCACCCATTGAAACATGAATCTGTATTGTCATTGGGTCATATCTGTAGTAGAATTGTGAAATAAATTTTGAAGTTGGTGCCTTCTTAGCCGTGAAAAGGCAGAAAGTGTCTTTTTGGCTCATGTTGATGAAAGACACCAACTCCCAGAATGCACAGCACCGCAGGCCACTCCCACTAAGGTCCTCTAGTTCAGAATCAGAAATAATTTATTAATCCCAGAGGGAAACTTGATAGATACAGTTTTTCCAAAATATACAGTATAGTAGTAGAAATATTCATGAGAGCAACCCATCCGAGTACTTTGCCCAAACGATGCCAGCCACGCCCCTTTCTGGGTGAAATCATTCCATCTGAATGAATGGTGGTTAATGGACAAGTTGGGGTCATTACCGATTTAAAGTCTTAAAAAATGAAAACCCTACTTAAAAACTGCAAGTATGAGCCTAAATCTGATGACCAGTGATGTAAACATTTAAAATATGACATTTCTGAACTCAGATCGGCATCATAATGGTATACAATTAATCGTGTACGTGAGTGTCTGTTCAATCTCTCTCTGTCAAACTGCTCAAACGAGTCATCAGAGGAAACTGACTTTAAACACCTGATGAATAATTATTAACCGTGTTACCCGAGAGGGATCTTTATTTTTAAATATTTATTTGTAATAGTTTCTAACAGTGTTCAGAGCTGTAATGGAGTGGTTACAGACGTTTACATAAACTCTGAGTTATCAGCTGATTTAGTAAAGAATAACACATGTAAAGTCAGCTGGATGATATTAAAACCTTTTGTATTCATACGTGAGTGTAAATAATGATGAGTGGGGCGAGACGAGGTGTTATATCGAGCTAGCAAACTTTTTATTTTGACATTTATTTTTCAGTAAGAGGATTTGGTGTAGTGTTCCTTCGTTTAGAAACATTTTCACCAACACATTTATGTGATGTGACAGTTGAAACGTTGTTAATACGTTAGTGAATGAATGTGTGAAGTGACACTTCTCTTCTGTCACGGAGTGATTGCTGCCTTAAAGCCAGCAGGAACATGACAGCGGTCTGCAATTCAGTCTGTAAGATGTCAGAGGAAACAGAGCAGCATGCACCACATCTCCATGGGTAGCAGAATTCAAGGTAACACTGTCTCTTCTCCCCTACACATTGACACACTGATGGTAGTAATCGCTTTACTATGAACCACCATTCATCTGAATGAATGGTGGTTAATGGACAAGTCTTTACAAGACAAACACACCAAGTCTGAATGTTTAAGAGTTTAAGCAGCAATGTGTCATAACCTGCCCATTTCACACAGTTCATACATGTTAAGACATGCAGCGCGCACACACACACACACACACACACACACACACACACACACACACACACACACACACACACACACACAGAGGTAATTAAGTAAGTTCGGGTGAGTAAAAACAAAAGTGAGAAAAGGAATAAACTTGCAGCAGAAATGAGACTGAAAGGGATACTTCACCCATTGAAACATGAATCTGTATTGTCATTGGGTCATATCTGTAGTAGAATTGTGAAATAAATTTTGAAGTTGGTGCCTTCTTAGCCGTGAAAAGGCAGAAAGTGTCTTTTTGGCTCATGTTGATGAAAGACACCAACTCCCAGAATGCACAGCACCGCAGGCCACTCCCACTAAGGTCCTCTAGTTCAGAATCAGAAATAATTTATTAATCCCAGAGGGAAACTTGATAGATACAGTTTCTCCAAAATATACAGTATAGTAGTAGAAATATTCATGAGAGCAACCCATCCGAGTACTTTGCCCAAACGATGCCAGCCACGCCCCTTTCTGGGTGAAATCATTCCATCTGAATGAATGGTGGTTAATGGACAAGTTGGGGTCATTACCGATTTAAAGTCTTAAAAAATGAAAACCCTACTTAAAAACTGCAAGTATGAGCCTAAATCTGATGACCAGTGATGTAAACATTTAAAATATGACATTTCTGAACTCAGATCGGCATCATAATGGTATAAAATTAATTGTGTATGTGAGTGTCTGTTCAATCTCTCTCTGTCAAACTGCTCAAACGAGTCATCAGAGGAAACTGACTTTAAACACCTGATGAATAATTATTAACCGTGTTACCCGAGAGGGATCTTTATTTTTAAATATTTATTTGTAATAGTTTCTAACAGTGTTCAGAGCTGTAATGGAGTGGTTACAGACGTTTACATAAACTCTGAGTTATCAGCTGATTTAGTAAAGAATAACACATGTAAAGTCACCTGGATGATATTAAAACCTTTTGTATTCATACGTGAGTGTAAATAATGATGAGTGGGGCGAGACGAGGTGTTATTTCGAGCTAGCAAACTTTTTATTTTGACATTTATTTTTCAGTAAGAGGATTTGGTGTAGTGTTCCTTCGTTTAGAAACATTTTCACCAACACATTTATGTGATGTGACAGTTGAAACGTTGTTAATACGTTAGTGAATGAATGTGTGAAGTGACACTTCCCTTCTGTCACGGAGTGATTGCTGCCTTAAAGCCAGCAGGAACATGACAGCGGTCTGCAATTCAGTCTGTAAGATGTCAGAGGAAACAGAGCAGCATGCACCACATCTCCATGGGTAGCAGAATTCAAGGTAACACTGTCTCTTCTCCCCTACACATTGACACACTGATGGTAGTAATCGCTTTACTATCACCCATCAGAAGTAACTAATCCCATTCAAACACCACCACCGAAGCAACGGGAGCAATTCAGGGTTAAGTGTCTTGCCCAAGGACACATCGGACATGTTGCCCAGCTGGGAATCGAACCCTCGACCTTCAGGTTGAGAAGTGACAACTGAGCGACCAACTGAGCCACAGCTGCCCCAATGAAAGCTGTGAAAAATGAAGCCGATGCTTGAAGTGTAAAAATCCTGCAGTTCCTGGAGTGTCCACTAGAGGCTGGCTGCAGAAGCACAGGAAGTCACACACACACCCCTTCTAAAAGGCCTGTTTTTACAGCAGAGATGAACATGTTTACAGCCTGGTTCAAAAAAACAAATAGGGGGGGGGAATGAATGGTGGTTAATGGACAAGACAAACACACCAAGTCTGAATGTTTAAGCAGCAATGTGTCATAACCTGCCCATTTCACACAGTTCACACATGTCAAGACATGCAGCGCACACACACACACACACACACACACACAGACACTGACATCCATCCATCCTGTCGACCTGCTCGTTTAAAGGTCGACCTCGTCTCTGAAAAACGTCTTACGTGCAGAAATGATACCACAATTGTGTGTGTGTGATGTTTAAATGTGATGATATGGGGTTTTTTTTTGGAAGAAGCCTCTTGGATCACTTCCTGCACACACACACACATACACACACACACACACACACACACAGGTATATAAAGATGGAGACAGGAAATAAGCAGTCATTGTTCTTCTTGTACGGCTTAATGTGACGACGATGAAGATGGCTGCTGCGTTCATCGTCTCTGCGCTTCTCATCTGCTGCTCCTTCACCTCCTGCACGGCAACACCAGGTACACCTCTACTCCTCCTCTACACCTCCTCAGAGGTGTCAAGTAACAAATACTTTGTTACCTTACTTCAGTAGAAACTTTGGGTATCTATACTTTACTGGAGTAATTATTTTTCAGCTGACGTTTCACTTCTACTTCTTACATTTTCACACAATTATATGTACTTTCTACTCCTTGCATTTTAAAAATAGCCTCGTTGCTCCTATTTCATTACGGCTTGTTGTCATACCGGCTTCCAAAAAAAAAATGTTGTGGTTGGATTAGAAGTATAAACATATACCATTCTGACACCCTATTGGCTCCATCATAACATAACATTTTAGTAATTATGGCCTTTAGACATTTTTTGGGGGGGGAGGTGGGGTAGTGCACTATAGGCTTCTGTGGTGCGGCCTAAGCTTTTGTCCTTAATGGCATTTTTTCCCCTTACATTACTTTTACTGTTATACTTTAAGTAGTTTTGAAACCAGTACTTTTACACTTTGAGTAAAAAGCTTGAGTTGATACATCAACTTCTACAGAAGTCTTTTTAAACCCTAGTATCTATACTTCTATCTGATTAATGAATGTCAATACTTTTGACACCTCTGCTCCTCCTCTACACCTCCTCTACTCTTCTATTTTTGATAAGCTGCAAAGAAGACGTCACTTCGACTTCTAAATGTCATATACATTTCTTCAGCCTCAGTGCAAACGTTTCTTTTTCCAGCTCTCCACATACACTGGGCTCCTCTCCACCAATAGATCTGCTGCCATAGGAGAGGCTTACAGTCTGTGTCACAGCTACACAGACCTAAAGTAGAGTTACCCTCTGATGGTCGGCAGATTTGAACATGAATACTGGGATCAAACACACAGGTTCTAGAAATGTAATAAATCAAATCTTTACCAATATATACAGTATGTATAGATATTTAGATATCTATATATATATATGTGTTTGTGGCTTTGTAAAAACAGTTTGTCATTGCAGCTCAAACCGAAAGAATTTATTTTCATGTCGAGACTAAGAGCCGAGCGTGCAGGAGCAGGAAGTGTTTGTGGTCACGGCGGTCTGAAACTGGGTTAACAAACAGGAAGCAACGCACAAAAGACACAGAACAACCAGGACAGCAGTCACACACACACTTACATATTTTCTTTAAATTGTGTAATTTAAAAAAAGAGTAATTCTTCTTTTAGGTTTGTGAAGCTGGAATACTGTGTAACAGACCTCATAGCAGCAGAGTTATATTTGGATTGAAGTGTCTGTTGTGAGCTGAGAAGGAAATGTGACTCTGAGACTGAAGAAATTTATAATTATATATTTATAAGATATTTACGAGTCAAGGTGATGTCTTCTTTCTAGCCAGGGAATTTGCAGGATGTACCATCTAGCAGAATATAAGCAACACTGTGAAGATGAAGACTTTGCCAATGATTGCCAGCGATTGTGAGATCTTGGTCAGCATGGGTCAGCGATGGTCCGCACTTTGTCAGCCATGTGTGTTGTGTGTCTGTGTTGTCTGACCTTGGCTGAAGAAATCCTGAGAGGCTGCTGTGTAAAGAAACCATCAGTATTAACTAATCCATTCATACACATTCACACACTGATGGTAGAGGCTGCTGTGTAAAGAAACCATCAGTATTAACTAATCCATTCATACACATTCACACACTGATGGTAGAGGCTGCTGTGTAAAGAAACCATCAGTATTAACTAATCCATTCATACACATTCACACACTGATGGTAGAGGCTGCTGAATAAAGAGTCCATCAGTTTTAACTCATCCATTCAGACACATTCACACAATGTGAGTAATATAGCTTAATTATAGATGAAATATAGTCATATATCAATATATATTGATATATGTCTTTATTTATACATATATAAAGTCAATATAGTCATATAGATTAAATATCTCAGCAGGTCAGAGCAGCAGAACAAAGCTGTTACAAGTCTCTGATGGAGAAATCCGATAAACGTTTGGTGACAAGTCTGCAGCCTCAGAGGTGTGAATACGAGTCTGCACACATCCGTCCAACATTTCCTGCAAGAACACATTAAATATGGTTGTGTGTTTGCAGAGTGTTCACTGAGCATGTGTGTGTGTGTGTGTGATTTTATGTACTTTTTGTTTGTTTAATTTGAGCACTGACTGTAAAAATGTGTATGTCTTTAGATTATACTCTATATCAATCAGTCTGTAACAGATATATATCAGTCTGTAACAGATATATATCAGCCTGTAACAGATATATATCGGTCTGTAACATATATATATTAGTCTGTAACAGATATATATCGGCTTGTTACAGATATATATATATCAGCCTGTAACAGATATATATATATCAGCCTGTAACAGATATATATCAGCCTGTAACAGATATATATATATCAGCCTGTAACAGATATATATATATCAGACTGTAACAGATATATATCGGCCTGTAAAAGATATATATATATATATATATATATATATATCAGCCTGTAACAGATATATAGATCAGCCTGTAACAGATATATATCAGTAAAATATATATATATATATATATATATATATATATATATATATATCAGCCTGTAACAGATATATATCAGCCTGTAACAGATATATAGATCAGCCTGTAACAGATATATATCAGTCTGTAACAGATGTATATATATATATATATATATATATATATATATATCAGCCTGTAACAGATATATATCAGCCTGTAACAGATATATATATATATATCAGCCTGTAACAGATATATATATATCAGCCTGTAACAGATATATATATATCAGCCTGTAACAGATATATATATATCAGCCTGTAACAGATATATATATATATATATCAGCCTGTAACAGATATATATATATATCAGTCTGTAACAGATATATATCGGTCTGTAACATATATATATTAGTCTGTAACAGATATCGGCCTGTAACAGATATATATATATCAGCCTGTAACAGATATATATATATCAGCCTGTAACAGATATATATCAGCCTGTAACAGATATATATATATCAGACTGTAACAGATATATATCGGCCTGTAAAAGATATATATATATCAGCCTGTAACAGATATATATATATCAGCCTGTAACAGATATATATCAGTCTGTAACAGATGTATATATATATATATATATATATATCAGCCTGTAACAGATATATATATATCAGCCTGTAACAGATATATATATATCAGCCTGTAACAGATATATATATATATCAGCCTGTAACAGATATATATATATATATATATATATATATATATCAGCCTGTAACAGATATATATATATATCAGCCTGTAACAGATATATATATATATCAGCCTGTAACAGATATATATATATATATATATATCAGCCTGTAACAGATATATATCAGCCTGTAACAGATATATATCAGTCTGTAACAGATATATATCAGCCTGTAACAGATATACATCAGCCTGTAACAGATATATATCGGCTTGTTACAGATATATATCGGCTTGTTACAGATAAATCAGCCTGTAACAGATATATATCACCTTGTTACAGATAAATCAGCCTGTAACAGATATATATCAGCCTGTAACAGATATATATATATCAGTCTGTAACATATATATATTGGCTTGTTACAGATATATATCAGTCTGTAACCGATATATATCAGCCTGTAACAGATATATATCGGCTTGTTACAGATAAATCAGCCTGTAACAGATATATTTTGACCTTTAACAGATATCAGTCTGTTTGAGCAGGGTTTTTTTAAGTATCCTGTTTCTGTGTCAGGATACAGGACACTGTGTCATGTTAACGTCTGACCTGGATTTTTCAGAATAAATGTAAAACTCAGATTATCAAGAAAAAAAGTTTAATTTCAAAGAGTAACAGTGACTCACAGACCATCACCCTTCCACACATGTCATCATCGTCATGGAAACTGTGGCTGATTGTCTTCTTCACACCATGACTCAGGATGGGACTTCCTGTCACAAACGGATACAAAACTAAAACTCCACAAAGTTTCTTCATCTGAGTGCAAACCACAAAGTTTTATTTTTAACCATTTCTTCACAGAAATCTTCAGTTCTTTATCGCTCATCATAAAATTAGAAGAGAAACTTGAGACATGAAGCCCGACCAATGTATAATTACTTTATTCAATGTTTGATTTTTAAAATATATATTTATGAACCCTCCAGTTTGTATTCTACAACACTGCAGCCTGTAGGGGTCACTGATGAGTCTTTATCATCGTCTGTATAAAATGATGGACGACTCCACAGCTCCATGAAAGTGAAGCCAGAACATTTAGAGCTCCCCCTGCTGACTGACTGAAGAATAGCTCATAAGTTCCACCTCCTCCATGTTAACAGATGGGACTAGGGTCAAAGTATAAAGTTTAAATACACTTCAGATAAATGTTTCTCTGACATCTCCACAGTCTGTTCTTATTATGTTGAGCTATGTCTCAGTGTTCATGTTTCTGAGAAGTTTAGTTTCAATTATTATTGATGATATAAAAAAGGAGTATTACATCATGATTGACAGCTGTGTTGACCAATGAGGCTCCTGAGTATTGGAATATCAGAGTAGAGGAGGAATAAACCCTCTCTGTGTCCACAGATTGTGAACAGTATGCTCCAGCAGGGGGCGACTTCACGGTGCACCTTCGAGTCAAACTGGACGCCACGGACAAATTAACGTGGAAACGTAACGATGAAAACATATTTAGAAGAAAGGGACCGTTGATGATCTTGGGGAAGGATGATGATGTCTCTGAGGACGGATCTCTGAGGCTGAGAAAAGTGACAAAGGAAATGGAGGGGACTTACGAGGCCGAGGTCCACAATGAAGCCGGGAATTCACGTGGGAAGTTCCAAAATGTCCTGTGTGTGCAAGGTAACTACACAGACGCCTCTCCCTAAAGCCTGGCTCACACTGCGGGATAACTGGGCCGATTTGAGCTCTGATTCTTCCTTCCTGACAATCACAGGGTCGCTCCCGACACCAAAAAAAAAGGGAGGACCACAGTCATGGCGACCATGCCACTGGTCGCCATGACTACAGTCCTCCCTTTTTTTTTTGACTTTTCTGTACAAATCATCAGTGCAGCACTTTTCTGAAACTTGTATCCATATATCTACGATTGTATCAATTGTTATTGTATTCTATATCCTACAACAACTTCCACTTCCTTCTCTTTCACCAACCGTCGTCCTTTGTTTTTTTTCAAATGAAACTTCATTAACAATTGTCAACGCTCCGTCCCGATTTCTCTCGTACAGTGTGAGCTCTCCGGCTGTGCCTGACAATCGGGTCGTACAGTGTGAGCACGTTGATCTCAAGGTCTGGCCGGGCGTCGTAAACGATTCACTCGTACAGTGTGAGCTGACATGCCACCCTGACTTTTATACAATCGGGGGAAAAAAATCGCACAGTGTGAGCCAGGCTTTACCCGACGAACAGCAGATCTCTTTTTTTAATAGCGTTTCTTCTTCTCTCCTCCAGAACGCGTCAAGAAACCCAAAATAAAGCAAGTCTGTGAATCAGAGAAGGTCAAGTTCACCTGCGGAGGTGGTCAGGTGAGTCAATCAATCAATTTTTATTTGTATAGCGTCAAATCATAACAAGTGTTATCTCGAGAGACTAAGGTCTTTTACCTGCTACAAAAAGCAGGTAAAAGACCTTACTCATTGTTATGTTACAAAAAGCAGGTAAAAGACCTTACTCATTGTTATGTTACAACACAGCGTCCGTGCAATGTTTTCTTTAGCTTTATACTTTTATTTGTAGAAGACACAGAAACATAAAAGGTCCAAACCATTAACCCTCCGACAGGTGAAAGGTGTGAGCTACAGGTGGCATATGAACGGCAAAGAGTTGAAGTACACAGTCGAGTCTGTGAACCTCTTAGTTAAAGATGTGACGGAGGGAGTCTCCTGCACCGTGTCTAACAAAGTCAGCAACATGAGCAGCGAGGCCATCAGTCATGACTGTATCAAGTCAGGTGAGCTCTGATCACACCTGTCCTATCCCTTCACCTCACATGTAACCGAGCTAACCACTGGATGGATTCCCTCTTTTCTCCTTCAGGGTTTGAGTTACCTGAAATTATTCCAGGGATAAGCTCCTGGGTCCTTGTGGGCGCTGGAGGAGGTGTGTCCGCTCACCTGTTCATGGATCAAGAATAAATGTCAACTCACATTGTGGTTCAAAATAAACAAACTTTATCTCCTCTAGGAGTTGTTCTGATTCTGTTCGTCGTCGTCATCGTTTGCTGCATTCTGACCAGGCGGAGACAACACATGCACGTGAAGGGTAACACTTTTTTATTTTAAAAGATGGAAACAAACTTCTCGCTGTGTGTGTGTTCATTTTCATAGCTAAAAACAACTGATCATGGGAGTTTCGGGGGAGATGAATTGGGCCAGAAATTGTTTATGCCAGCTTAAGCATTATAGCATTAGCTTAATTTAGCATCAAACCTTCAGTCTGTGCTTTTGGTTTCTCTCCACAGATGAGGAGGAGCTTCGTTTGGGCTGGACCAATCCCAACCAACATCCTCATCAGCACCATCCTCACCCGTCCAATCAACAACATCCTCATCATTCTCACCCAGCCAATCAACAACATCCTCATCATCACCATTCTCACCCGCCCAATAAACAACATCCCCATCATCAGCAGCAGCAGCCGGCCGGTCACACCGGGCCACGCCCACATCGCAACAAACAGCAGCGCCAAAGAAACCCCAACCAGCCCGGTGATCAGCCTCAGCCCAGCCCCCGACGACAGGTAAGCGCACAGGTTGACACAGAGGAGCTAAGCTAGGCTAACACTAAAGTACAGTTGACGTGCAATGAAAGTTGGACATTTTAACATGGGGCTCTATTAGGACTGACTCACTGCAGGAGACAGACTCTAGTGGACACTGGAGGAACTGCAGCTGTAAAGTTAGACATTTTAACATGGGGCTCCGTCGGGACTGACTCACTGCAGGAGTCTTCTCCACAGACTCTAGTGGACACTGGAGGAACTGCAGTTTTTAGCACTTCAATAAATAATCCAAACAAATAAACAAACAAAATGTAGTGTATTTACCGGTGTTCTCTTCTCCTCAGCTCCCCCGAGAGCCTGATGAAGAGCAGCCCCCTCCTCTTCCTCAGCCCAGGAAGAACGCTCCCCGAGTGTGACTCCACTAGAAGCCTCCCCTCCTCCTCCTCGTCTCTGCCCCTCCTCCCTGCCCCTTCTCCCTGCTGAGGATGACAATGTTGATGGATTCTTCCTCCTTTGAATGAACTTTTTTTTATAGATTTTTTATTTCTTTTTAAGCTGAACTCAAACTAAACACAATCAAACTGTCCCTGTCCTCATGTGAACACAGTTCTTCATTATAGTATGTTTTCTTTTAAATCTTCTTCTTGCCTGATGATTCCTCTGCCTGGATAAATACTCGGCTCTGATTGGCTCTCAGTTAAAGCGTCTGTCTATAATTAACTCACCTGGTTAACGAGCTCACACCTGTTCACAACAAAGACAGATGAACTTCATTAACACAGTGTCGTCTTGCAGTACGTCTGAACACACCAGGAGGGCGCTGTGACACCAACTGCCTCTAGTTGTCACTGAAACACAAACTTTAGATTCTGATTGGCTGAAATATGAAAACACCTTTTTCCACCTGCTGCAGTCAGTGATGATGTTATCCAAGGTGTGTTCATGTCCTCCTGCCCTGGAGTCTGATTGGCTATGTGCATCCTTAGAGGTGGGGCTTGTGTTGAAATCAGCTGTCTGGGGCTGTTACAGCCATTTGGCCTGTTTGTTGTGAAGGTATGAAGTGTGTTTGTATTTAGATAAATCAGCTGATTAAAAAACATGATTTTAAATAATTCATCCACAGATTATAAAATGATTTGTTGCCTCGAATATTTTGATTTTTTTTTAATATTGATGAAAAAAAAATCCATAAAATCCTCATTAGTGACTGACAACCGTCTGCTTCTGCCCCCTGGTGGATCCTCAGTGCACTGCATGTCTCTGGTTATTTATTCACCAGTAGAAAAGAAGAAGCAGAGGTTTATCAAACATGATTCTCTTCATGGTTATTCATGATGGAGGAGATCTGAGACCTGCAGGTGAAAGTCACATGATCAGATCCTCTCTCACCTGCACAGTGATCTGAGACGTTCAGGTAGAGGTCACATGATCAGATCCTCTCTCACCTGCACAGTGATCTGAGACGTGCAGGTAGAGGTCACATGATCAGCCCACACAGAATAAAAACACAACAGATGACAAAAAAATAAAAATAAAAATGCCCGTCCATCTAGCTAGTATCTTAGCTAGCCGAATCCCTGGGCTCAGGTGAGTTTACCTGTTTACTCCATGTCATCAAATTCACAATTGGACTATCTTCAGCGCTGAGAGACAAAAAGGACAACATAGAGGAAGAAGATCAGACTGAAGTTTATCTTCATGAACCTGCAGACAAACATCGTTCACAAACATACACCTGAACACACACCTACACCTGAACACACACTCACACACAAAAGACATTTTTATTATCTCAAGGTTGAGGGTTCAAATCTTCTCTGTCACCTGCAGCTGTTTCTCATTATGTGTGTCCTTCTCAGGTGTGTGTGTGTGTGTGTGTGTGTGTGTGTGTGTCATCCTGCAGGTGTTTCTCATTATGTTTGTCCTCATCAGGTGTGTGTGTGTGCGTCTGTGGTTGTGAGAGAGTGTGTGTTTCAGAGTGTGTGTATTTCAGATTGTGTGTGTGTGTATTTCTGAGTGTGTGTGTGTTACTGTGAGAGAGAGAAGTGAGGTCAAATATCTTCCTCCTAATAATAAATCACACACACACTCAGCACATCCCTCTTCATGTGTTGACATGGTTTCCATGGCGAGGGGAGGTGTTGACGAGTCATGGCAGCAGTCCCCACACACACACACACACACACACACACACACACACACACACACACACACACACACACACACACACACACACACACACACACACACACACACACACACACACACACACACACACACACACACACACACACACACACACACACACACACACACACACACACACACACAGCTGCTGCCTCTAGAGCTCACCCCGAAGGAACCCGGACCCGGACTCTCTCAGTCACAGGACCATGACCCGGATTCACTCAGCCACAAGACCCTGACTCACTCAGTCACAGGACCTTGACCCTGACTCTCTCAGCCACAAGACCCTGACCTGGACTCTCTCAGCCACAAGACCCTGACCTTGACTCTCTCAGCCACAGGACCCTGACCTGGACTCTCAGCCACAAGACCCTGACCCGGACTCTCTCAGCCACAAGACCCTGACCCGGACTCTCTCAGCCACAGGACTCTGACCCGGACTCACTCAGCCAATCAGTCATGTTACATTACACCACATAAAAACACTGAGAGGGAAATCCACCAAAGTCCTGACAGAAGCAGACTGTAAGCTTCTCTCTCACTCACTCACACACACACACGCAGAGCTGGTGGTGAGGCTGTAAACATCAGCGTCGATTACGTCGGAGATGAGAAAACGTGTCGCCGGCGGTCGACTCGAGGGAGAACAGGCTGCTTCTCTGCATGAGCTGCTAAATCTTTCTGTCTGAACGTGTTGTTATGTGGAGCAGCAAGAAGCCTGAGAGCAGCTAAATGCACAACACACACACACACACACACACACACACACACACACACACACACACACACACACACACACACACACACACACACACACACACACACACACACACACACACACACACACACACACACACACACACACACACACACACACACACACACACACACACACACACACACACGGTCCATTAAAGGAGACAACGGGACGACTGACAGGACCGCAAACGTCCATGAGAGCCTCAAACACTCTCAGGAGGACGAAAGTGGGTCAACGAGACCCTAAGAGAGAAGAGGAGGGAGCCAATCGACACCACATCTTAACTTCCTCTCACATGATGGAGAGAATGAGGGGTGGAGAGGGAGGGAGAGAGAGAGAGAGGGAGGGAGAGAGGGGGGTGAGAGAGAGGGGGAGAGAGAGAGAGAGAGAGAGAGAGAGAGAGAGAGGGGCAGGGAGAATGAGAGGGGGCGATAGAGAGAGGGGGGAGAGAGGGGAGAGAGAGGAGAGGGAGGGAGAAAGAGAGTGTGAGAGGGAGAGACATTAAAAAGGTGTAAAAAAAAAAGAAAGCCATGAGAGTCGAGTTCGAACTCTTCTACCTCTGCGATCGCCACAAGGAGAGAAAGAAAGGAGTGAGAGAAAAGAAGAGCTAAAGAAAATAAAGAGAAATGACAATAAAGATCATAAATGTAGGTTACAGATATTATTAAAAGTATAAAGATCATTAATGATACAGATATTTAAAGTATAAAGATCATAAATGTAGGATCATGGTAATTATGTTTCAGGTGTAGAGAGATAAGAACGACTCTCAGCAGGAAGTCGACAATGACCACAAGAGGGCGCCAGCAGAGCAGGAATGTGTTCCCATCAAAAAGCTGTTTTCAGAGAACCGTTCTAAACCAGCAGACAGCTCAGAAAAACACAGACGCCCCCTACAGGTCACATTGTGCATTACAGCAAGGGAAACATGTTACTTCATAACTTCATAGTTTGTTACTCTTTAAAGTTTAAATTGATTTCAGTCTTTTCTTTAACACGCTGTTTTTAGTTATAACATGCTAAAGCCACCAGGGGGCAGCATCTGAAGAGCTGTTTGTTCACACCTTTTAAAATGAACTCGAATAGGAAGGAAACATGTTTAACTGTTTTCTTTGACTCCGCCCCTCAGAACTGCGTCTGAAGAAATACGAACCAATCAGTAATCTCATTATGACCACCTGATGGAATCCAACACAACACACCCACCATGAACCCTGACCCCCCATTATGTTGATTGGTCAACATGTTTGTCACTTAGAACCCATTTTTTATTCTACAACAAAAATATACGTCTATTTTATGTTATTTTTTTTTAAATGTTGTTCTGTCTGAAGCTGAGTGGACTTAACTTGCTGTATGCTTTTATTTTGAAATAAAGTACGGCCCTTCCTGTAGCTGGAAGAATAGGACATGAAGTTAAACCCAGAAACAGGAAGTGGTTAGGGATCCAAAAGTGAGGTCAAACAGCTCAAAGGAACGGTAACAAAGGTCAATGTGTGATGTCATAAGGTCAATGTGTGATGTCATAAGGTGGACTCGTCAGCTGAGCTGTCTGAGAGTTTGTTAAAGTGAAATGAAACATTCAAAGATACAGCAGTGTCCTTCTTTTACATCACTGAGACTACAGCGAGACACTGAGGACCACTATCTACGGAGAGCCTGAAGGGACAAAATAACATGAGATTAATCATTGCATTAATTGATCTGTAACGATGAATTCATACAAACACCTCGTTAATGCTGACAGGCCTGAAATATACAATAATACTAATAACAGACAAACTTAAAGAAACGATGACATCATCAGAGCAGCTACTTCCTGTTCAGAATAAAAGAAGAAGAAACACATCTTACAAATCTATTTATTCAAAACATCAGCACAGTCACAAACTTTGAATCAAAGGACGCTGGGGAACATCTGGACAGGTGTGTGTTTCAGGTGTGTGTGTATGTTTCAGGTGTGTGTGTGTGTATGTTTCAGGTGTATGTTTCAGGTGTGTATGTGTTTCAGATGTGACACACTATCACACACACACAATATCTCACACACACACACCCTTACAGGAGAAAGGTGTGACACCCATCAGCTCAGTGTGTCCTTGTCTCTGATTGGCTGAATTTCACCCCTCGGTGTGTTCATTGCTTAAAATATCGACGACCGAACATCAAAATAAAATCTTTAAAAATCCGTCGTGGCTTCAGCTGACTGACGACGATTATTGCTCAAAAACATCCTCCAGTTAAAAACCAGAGGGAGGAGGACACGGCTAGTTAGCCTAGCTTAGCATAAAGACCGGGTGCAGAGAAACAAACAACTGTTGTGCTAACACGCTTTTGTCTGCTTTCTGCTAAACTAAGCTAAGCTAAGGAGATCCAGACTGGAGCTGTGAGGGGGGATGGGCTGAGTCTGCTCGAGTCGTGCTGACAGAAGCGTCCTTAAAACCTGCTGACACCCTAACCCCTATACCCTAAACCCTAACCTGCAGCCTCAAACTGATGATGTCATGTTGGCCACATCTTCCATACTTTTTTAAATGATATAATCTGTCCTGTTAATGATCGATAGTATCCAAAAATACTGCACTGTACAAACCGACACCTGTCTCAAAGGAAGGACGGGTAAGACAACAACGACGAGTCCATTAAATGTCACCTCACGTTGGGATTTGTGCGTCACATCGTGCGTGCACTCGTGCAGTTTGACGCACAAATCCAACGTTGCCAATGAGTTTAATTTCTCTGAATAAAAAAACAATAAATTCTGCAACATTGGGTGGTGTATTGAGGACTTCTATTCCTGTTGCCGTGATTTAGAATCATATCAAAGATTTAAACTCTGTTGTCATGACGACGACCCTTCAGTGGTGAAAGTGATTCTCCTGCTCCGTCTCATCATGAAGGAAGTGAAAGGTGTTCATGCAGGTGAAATGTGTCCCTGGATCAGGTGTGTGCTGCTCCTGACTGACATCAGTGTGTTTGTAGAAAAACAGAACATGCATCCCCACACACACTAACACACACACTAACACACACACACAGGATACATGAGTGTATATATGTAGAAAAGTCGAGCGTTGATCTGAAGAAGAAGCACGTACTCTCACAAACACTCGACTGCATATCTGGAATTGAAACGTCCACTGAACTAAGGAAGGGAAACATCGTCTGTTGTCTGGAGCACCCGATGAATCCAGGGGCAGGAGTCCTGGTCTCTGTCCCTGATGTACGGATGTTAATCCTCCAGCTGTGTGCTCGGCTGGTGAGTCCTCCGCTCAGACTTGAATACTATCAGAAGGGACGGGAGGGATTTCTTGGCATTAGGAGAAGAAGACGCTGAGCACGTCATGTTTCAGGTGTGTCCAGGTGTGTTCAGGTGTTTTCAGAGCTCCTTATATGGCAGTGTGTTGTGTCAGAGCGTCTGACTCCTCCCACTGTGCTAAAGGTTTATTTCTGTAAAAATCTGGAAGCTCCACACGTTTAAAAATCTTCACACCATGTCAAGTCTCAAAGGCTTGTTCCTATTGGTTAATCATGAGCCCCATGCTCTGATTGGTTAATCCCCTGCTTTGCACGCTGCAGAGTCCTGAGCACCGAGTAACCACGACGATGAGTGAGTTTAGTCCCAGCGTCCGTCAGCTGCAAACAGCTGTGTGTCCCAGTAATCGTCGCCGGGTGTGTGTCTGTGGTGTGTGTGGTGCTTCCTGCAGTGTGTGTGTGCAGGGGAGACTGTGTGTCAGTCCATCTCCAGGTCCATCAGCTTGTTCCGAGAGCGAGGAGTGTGTGTCGTGTTTCTGCAGCAGCACTGAGCACACACAAGCCCGAGGACCAGAGAGAACACACCTACACCTGGAGACAGTCAGGACAGGGTTAGCTTCTATGCTAATGCTATTGAGAAGACACCTACACCTGGAGACAATGGGGACTGGGTTAGCTTCTATGCTAATGCTATTGAGAAGACACCTACACCTGGAGACAATGGGGACAGGGTTAGCTTCTATGCTAATGAGAACACACCTACACCTGGAGACAATGGGGACTGGGTTAGCTTATATGCTAATGAGAAGACACCTACACCTGGAGACAGTGGGGACTGGGTTAGCTTATATGCTAATGCTAATGAGAAGACAACTACACCAGGAGACAATGGGGACAGGGTTAGCTTCTATGCTAATGCTAATGAGAACACACCTACACCTGGAGACAGTGGGGACAGGGTTAGCTTCTATGCTAATGCTATTGAGAAGACACCTACACCTGGAGACAATGGGGACTGGGTTAGCTTCTATGCTAATGCTATTGAGAAGACACCTACACCTGGAGACAATGGGGACAGGGTTAGCTTCTATGCTAATGAGAACACACCTACACCTGGAGACAATGAGGACTGGGTTAGCTTCTATGCTAATGAGAAGACACCTACACCTGGAGACAGTGGGGACTGGGTTAGCTTATATGCTAATGAGAAGACACCTACACCTGGAGACAGTGGGGACTGGGTTAGCTTATATGCTAATGCTAATGAGAAGACAACTACACCAGGAGACAATGGGGACAGGGTTAGCTTCTATGCTTATATCTGCTGCAGTATGAACTTAATTCAATTCAATTCAATTAAATTCAACTTAACTAAATTAATGTGGAACATTAATCTGCCTGGAAACAGGAGCACGCTGCATGTTGATTGGTTAACAAGTTTGTTAGCATGCTAACACGGCGTGTAACATAAGGAGGTGTTAGCTTACCTACTGACGCTGACACACCGTATAACAGAGGTAACTTCAGAGACTCCCACACTGAGAGAGAGAGAGAGAGGGAAGAGAGGGAGGGGAGAACATCATGTAGAGAAGCAGGAAGTCAGACATGCTTATCTTGGACCTATGCTAAGCTAACATTCACTCAGGTATAAAACACGTCCACGTATTTTCCTGTTGAGTTAGGAGCACTTTATCTTCCAATCACAGAATCCCTCTCACTTCTTTCCTTCAGACTGAGACAAGAGTGTTGATATTATTTAACTGTTAAAAAAAGACCTCAGATTAGGCCCCTCCCCCACAACCTGAGCTATTAACCATGTCCCCATTACACTAACGAGCCATTAACAGATTTAAACTACATTTATTTATCAGGTGAGAAAGAGGAGAAGGAGGCGTTTGTGAACTCACCTGCAAACTTGACGGTGAGGAAGACTCGTGATGACGTCAGCTCTGCAGCCTGAGTCCACGCACCTGTGGAGGCCGACAGGTACCAGGGCGTGGCCACGCAGTGATACTCTCCACTGTCACTGAACACAGAGAGAGAGAGCGAGAGAGAGAGAGTAAGAATGGTTTGATGATGGATTTAAAGAAACACACACACAGGTGTAACACACTCACCTGTCCTGCGTGCCGTGGATGTTCAGCTGGTAGGTGTGCGTGTCTTTACGTTCGACGGAAACGTCGCTGGATGAGTTTCGAGCGTCCTTCCTTAACACGCCGAAACGGTCCACGCTCGCCACTTGAACGGTTGTCTGACCGCCACGGAGACGAGTGAAAAACCAACGCACCTCGTACGCTAGGTCATCTGAGAGAGAGAGACAGAGAGAGAGAGAGAGAGAGAGAGAGAGAGAGAGAGAGAGAGAGAGAGAGAGAGAGAGAGAGAGAGAGAGAGAGAGAGAGAGAGAGAGAGAGAGGTGAGGTGAGAACAGGTGATCAGGGGAGTTCACCAATGAGGCTCTAACTGTAAAATTGAAGCTCACAGCGCCCGCTACAGGGCAAAGATGGTCAGTTCAAGTGAGAAATAAAGTCTATTTATATACGACCTTTCAAAATAAAAGAAGACAAGACATCAAATACAAAAAATGTCTGAAATTTAAATTGAAAAAATAAACATGTTTAGACACCATGACATCATCATCATCATCATCATCATCAAATAAACCTACAGTTAAACACACACACGTGATACTACACTTATTATATCCTGAAAACTACAGAAAGACTGAGAGTTATTTTTAGATACAGAGTGAGAGCGTTAATATCACTGTGATGATTCAAGAACAAAAGAACACACACACACACACACACACACACACACACACACACACACACACACTGATAAAAACAGAGATACAGACTCGTGACATAAAAAAAAGACGAGATGGGAAAAAGAAAAACAGAGACAGGAGATGTAATCTGAGCAACGGGAGCGGGCGAGCGAGCTTATTATTTCCAAGAGGAGAGAGAGAGAGAACAGAAACTAGTCATTAGTGTGTCAGCGAGAGAGAGACTATTAACGCTGCAACTCCTCCACACACAACGACACAATAAAAACCCCATGAAGTGTGACTCACACTGTGTCATTAACACACACACACACAAAGAGAACATTTGTCGAGCGAGAGTCTGATGAGAAACAATGATGCTGCTGATGATGAAGATGATGGAGAGAGTTTAATGAATCACAGTGAACATCTCTGCTCACTAATGGATTTAATATTCTGCATTAATAGGCACAGGCGCACACACGCACGCACGCACACACACACACACACACACACACACACAGTAAACCGTTAAAATCAGTGAATGGATAGATTTCATCATTGTTTCCACTCAGAGGTCCTAAAAAACAGAGACATAAACTCAGATATCTCAGAGTTCTTCTTAAACTCTGTGTCTTAAACTCAGAGATATAGACAGAGAGAATCAGAGATATAGACACAGAATCCGAGATATAGACAGATTCTCTATCTATATCTCTGATTCTCTGAGATCCCTGTGATGAAAGACTCGTTAATCTCTGATGCAGCGTCTCTCTCTCTGGATTCATCTTTTCTCTTCTTGTTAACTCGTCACCACGACGACATCGCACCAAATCAGATCGTCTGATCCTCAATTAACGTGCGAGATGCTGTTCAGTGAGAGGACGTTGATTCAGACTGAACATCTAGTTTAGCATTAATCTCACTCTTAGTATGGGACCAGTTTTTAATTCAGCGTGTCTCGGGGCTGATAACACATCCACTCAAAACTTTCAGTCCATGCTAAAGGTTAGTTTCATCTGTGTTTGATTTAATCATCGCACTGAAGTCTGAGGAGCAAAGATCAGAGTTTAAACTTTACAACACACGACGGAAATCACATGAAGAAAGAATCATTCCTCTTCAGTGGAGTCAGAAGAAGCCTCATCCTCGCTGTTATATTTAACCAAAGAGAGGAAGACGAGGTGGAAGAGGAAAGACGAGGAGGAAGAAGAGGAAGACGAGGAGGAAGAGGAAAGACGAGGAGGAAGAGGAAGGCGAGGAAGACTAAGAGGAAATACGAGGAGGAAGAGGAAGACGAGGAGGAAGAAGACGAGGAAGAAGAAGACGAGGAAGACAAAGAGGAAGACGAGGAGGAAGAGGAAGACGAGGATGAAGAGGAAGCAAGAGGAAAACGAGGAGGAAGAGGAAGACAAAGAGGAAGACGAGGAGGAAGAGGAAAGACGAGGACGAAGAAGAAGACAAGGAGGAAGAGGAAGGCAAGGACGAAGAGGAAAGAGGAGGAGGAAGAAGAGGAAAGACGAGGAGAAAGACGAAAACAAAGAGGAAGAGGATGGTGATCATGATGATGAAGAAACACGAGGATAGCAAGGGGTAAAAAGAAAACGAGCCGAGAGTCCATTCAGCCAGAGAGGAGGAAACACGAAGTGACACTAAGTGAGGGGTGAACGGGTCGACTGGCCGTCCATACAACCCCCCCCCCCCCCCCGCAGACTCACTGAGCAGAATCAGCTGATGACTAACACTCATATCGCTCTGATGTTTGCTCAGTTTGTTCTTTATTGTAGAGCTGCAGTAAACAGAACACTTTGAAGGACTCTTTCTTTTTGTGAATGAATTAAAATCTTTCAGTTAATCTTGATCCGGACATCATAGATGTCTCACGTTAGGCCCCACCCCCAAAGCCTGAAATATGACTATAACCACACCTCCATTACACTAATGAGCCATTAAAATATTTACATTAAGCTCTACAACATTCTTCCTTCTACACTTTTAGATGGCACACATTTTAAAATCATACAATCTCTGTGTCTATGCAGACGATGGTGTGAGCTCTGTGTCTATGCAGACGATGGTGTGAGCTCTGTGTGTGAGCTCTGTGTCTATGCAGACGATGGTGTGAGCTCTGTGTCTATGCAGACGATGGTGTGAGCTCTGTCTCTATGCAGACGATGGTGTGAGCGCTGTCTCTATGCAGGCGATGGTGTGAGCGCTGTCTCTATGCAGACGATGGTGTGAGCGCCGTCTCTATGCAAACGATGGTGTGAGCGCTGTCTCTATGCAGACGATGGTGTGAGCGCTGTCTCTATGCAGACGATGGTGTGAGCTCTGTCTCTATGCAGATGATGGTGTGAGCTCCGTCTCTATGCAGATGATGTTGTGAGCTCCGTTTAATGCAGACGATGTTGTGAGCTCTGTTTCTATGCAGACGATGTTGTGAGCTCTGTTTTTATGCAGACGATGTTGTGAGCTCTGTTTCTATGCAGACGATGTGTGAGCTCTAACCGGTTAGCCAGACAAGATAACTGAATTTATTTGTGTCTCTGATAAATGTAAATCTAGAGGATAAATGCTTTTAATATTTTAAACCGTTTAAAAAACTGAAATGTTAAGAGTAAACAAACTGTAATAATCGTCAGGTATCTGTTGGAGGGAGCAGTTTGTTTTTATTTCTGAGTAAAGATTCTGTTTAAGAGTATAAACAACAAACAACAACATATTTCTAACTGTTTATCGGCACAGACATTCTATTCTGACAGGATGCTTTTTATCTTCAATTTTTTCTTATATAGTCACATCAGTGAGAGCCAACAGTCTGCAGGTGTGTGAGTGTGGTTTAGGTGCGTGAGTGTGTGTGTGTGTGTGTGTGTGTGTGTGTGTGTGTGTGTGTGTGTGTGTTTGTGTGTGTCAACCCTTCGTTAATGATCAAAGACACAAGTTTGCATAAATCTGCAGGACTGACGTGTGAACCCGACTCTCTCAAATGAGAAACTCTGAGCGAGCTGCCATTTTTGTTTCTTTGTTCCTGGCACACACACACAGTGTTTAACACACACACACACACATCTCCACAAACATCCCTGATAAAGAATAACTCCCCCCCCACCCAGAATCTCCCCCCCATCTGTTCCTTCAACCCGTCACCCCCCTCATGAACTCGTGAACTCACCCCCCACCCCCCGACACTCAGAGATAAACTTCAGGCTCAGATTACACACTGAACAGAGTGAGTGTGTGTACTGCTCCATGCCAACCCTCTCGTCTGTATCTCTGAGTGTGAATAAAAGATCAAACTGACGACCCAGCAGTGTGTGTGTTTGTGTTTGGACACACACACTCACTCAAAGTTAGGAAAAACAGAACTTTAAAGGTTTCTGAAGACAGAAATGTAAAGGTAACATAAAACTGGCCACTGCCAACAGCTCCCTTAAAAAGGCCACATGAAGGGTTCCCTAAAACAGACACTAACCACAGCTACATCAGACAAGCACACTGACTCACACTAGGCCCAGTTGCCCTGACTGCCCCCCCATCCCCTGTCCCGAGACCCAACCAGACCTGAGCATGGGTCCCTCTAGTACATACATCATCATGCTATTTTAAAGGATAGTTACAGATTTCCCAAAAACCTCAGAGTTCTTGTAGGTTTCATTACAGAGAAAGGGTACCTTAACACGAAAAAGAGAGCTATTAAGAACAGACTGAGAGAGGAAGAGGAAGAGGAGGATGAGGATGAGGATGAGGAGGAGGAGGAGGAGGATGAAGGTGAAACGGCTCTCCTGTCTGAGCTCATAAAACCAAAATGGCCGTCTGTGGAAATGAAGGCGTGTGATTGGATGAATCCCTGAGGAGAATCTGAGAGTAAAACACGGCAATTACACACACAGCGTCTAATGAAACGGTGTGTGTGTTCTCTCAGTGTGTGTGTGTTAGCGCGTTCTCGCTCTGTAGAGTGAAACACTAACCGTATTAAAGCTCGTCTTCCTCCACAGAAACAGAATACATTTTCTCTGAGTGAGTTTAAAACCTCCTGATTGATTGAACATTTTGGATTAGACACTCTATAATACACAATAAACACTACACACACTGTGCACACAAAATACAGTGTGTGTGTGTAGTGTATGCAGTGTTGAGTACTTTAAAACTACTAAATATTTGAATCTGTTTTTACCGAGTGACACAATGATCAACATCTCTACAGGTCCCTACTGAGCGCGCTCAGAACTCCTGCTCAACACTTTCATCTGTGTGTGTGTCTAAATGTGTGTGTTAAAATGTGTTTTTTAAATGTGTGTGTGTGTTTAAATGTGTGTGTGTTAAAGTGTGGAGCTAATGGACTGAAGATGACGTTTTCAATTTGGTTTAACTGTCTCCTCTTCTCTCTTGATGGTTGTGTTGGTTGGTCGTGTTGGTTTGATGGTCGTGTTGGTTGGTTTGATGGTCATGTTGGTTTGATGGTCGTGTTGGTTTGATGGTCGTGTTGGTTGGTTTGATGGTCGTGTTGGTTTGTTGGTCGTGTTGGTTTGATGGTCGT